CACTGCTCAACAGAGCTCTCTAGTTTCGTTGTTCGAAAAAAGGTCAAATGATCGTAATATTTTCGCGTACACATGAATAGCATTAGATGTCTAGAAACATGAGGGACCACTTCTCCAGAGAACTTCCAGTGCTCTGAAATTTATATACCAAGCTCAGTTGTATAGCTTCCGTTTGATTAGGGAAGGTAAGAGAAAGGTTATACAAGCATCGTTTAATTACGTGTATGATACCCCACAAATGTAAAGCAAGTTTCCCACTCAGAATTCTACTTTGGTCACGGTTCTCTGATTAATCATTTTGTATTCTTATTATTATTCTTATCAACCTGAACATGCTCCTTGTACTTCAAGTCGAAAAACACTTTTCCTGCGACACTTGGCGTTGAGCCGGAACTTCCTGATCATGCAAGGTGATACACCAATTACTGTCATATTGTATAGCTCGAGTTTTTTTTTTTGTTTTTTGTTTTTGTTTTTTTTTGTTTTACTTGCTTTACACGTAAATAATATAATGTCATACTTAACGAATCCTACGTCGTTTAAGTCTTTGACTGCAGGGCGTGCATTACTAAATTTGCACAGCGTTACCACTTTCGATCACAAGACAGCTGTGTAACCACCCTTTCAATCCATTTTCTTGTTACAATATCAAAACAATGTAAAGGAGCCCTCAATGAAACAAAGATGTTGATTCACTACAACAAATAAATGTAGTCATCATGTACATTTGTACATGCACACACATGTAATTTTGTATACCGAGAATGTACAACCACATTCATAAAACCAAGGGTATTTTTTTCCTCAACAAGCAATGTACTGTACATGTAATTTGAAGTGACTTCACGCACGAAATTACGGACTTGTTTCATTTTTGTACATGTATATCACAGTCCAATGCGACAAGGTCTTTTTTGGTAAATTGTTCCCGTTCCATTGAAGCAAATGCTACGTTTCTGATTCACCAGTGGTCTGTTTTTGTTGTACATTTTCCTTTTCCTGAATTCTCAACTCCTCGTCTAGTCGTTCTTTTGCTCTCACAACCTATGGCCAACACAAAAATATGTGATAATCAATACTGTGAGAGGACAACAAGAACAAGTCTAAAACAAGGTACATGTGTACAAACATGTAGATCTATGTACGTACACTGTACGCCAATCATACATGTAAAGCACAAGTCTATATGCTGCAAATTATGGACAATTGAGGTTCAGAAAAAAAAAAGCCTAACATTCTGTCAAGTTGCCTTAATGCACATGTGAGATATAGACATGGCAAAAGAAAGGACCAAAAAGCATAAACAGCAATTTTCTTAAACAAAAACCAAACACTGTGATACAAAGTACACCTGTAACAATCATGCTAAAAACTGTTCCAACAGTAATTTTGCATTGTCCTAAGTGACCACATGTAAACATGCATGTCTCAGGAGTGGAGAATTTTTCCCTATCCAAGACAACTGTGTTGAAACATAAAGTGCAAAATGTAGTCTTACCTTTGACTGTAGGTAAAATGACCCTCCAGCTTTCTTTTCATTGATTTTGAAGAGGTGATCATAGTTCTGACACAGGCAAACAAAGCACTTGTAAGACAACAGATATCTAGTACATGTAAAACAATGGGCAAATTGCATAGGAAAATGTGCAAAAAAAATGACATCATGACCGTAAATACTAACAAAATAAGTGCCAGCACCCCCATTCTCCCTTTCAATATTGGAAAATGATAAAATGCAAACTTCCAACCCTTGTGACAAAGATTGTAGCCATGCTCACTCTTTCAAACTGTAGACATAAATTTTTATCAAACATGTTTAAGACGAAATGCGATAGAAAATCAAGCAATTTCAGTTTTTAATGGATATGAACTTTGTACCAGAATAGCTCTATGTATAATATGGTCCTTTTTGCATTTTCTAAAAGCTAAAGATATAAACAGTTGCCTGAAATAACACCAAAATCGATTTCCGACAGAAACTCAATAAAATAAATGTCAAAGTTCAGAGAAATTGTGAGAACACAGGCAAAATTTCATTATCAGTTTTATTTCACCAACTGGTACTCTCAAGTGTTTCATATGAACTTCAAAATTTGGTTTCCACATTTGGTGTGGTTAGAAAAGATTTCTTTTGAGAAGATAGTTAAAGCAGTCCCACAGAAGTTTGCAACACAATATATAATAACCTCTGAAGAAATTTTGTCAGCTTATAAAAGTATTTAAGCTTGTGGTGGATTCCTTCTTAACTTTCATTATCCACCTGCAGTGAATATCGTGCAAATAATGCACAAAACAAGTACAAAACTAATATGCATGTATATGAGTTTGTTATCTGTAGAATAGAAAAGCTGTTTGACAGGTCACCTAACATCACACAAAAGTGTTTCACTTTACCCTCTTTTGCTGATAAGTTTAGTTTATTGACTACAGCAGTTAGATAATAAATCTTTTGTTACTGTAGATGTTTTGCTGTGTAGTATTGCTTAATATTTTTACTTGCTGTTGGCCGACTCAAAAAAAAAAACAGTGATACTACACACCAAGACAACTTAGAAAATGATAATTTAAAAAAAAAAAAACAAAAACTAGAAAATAATTCTTTTTACTTTAGGAATAGCCGCTATAGCAACATAATAAGAAATTGCAGTTGTCAGACTACATGCACATAGCTAGCCTCCTCCTCTTGGAATGTCAGAATACATATGGCTGGGAGGCTGATATTTTTCAAGAGTCCCGTTTGTCCACATCAAAAATGCCGTTCAGTTGCTCAGACTATACCTGCACTGCAGATCAACATGTACACTCCACACTAAATACTGCATTAAGTGTACATGGAATACTGCATTACCGTCTTAAGCCCTGTCACTAGCTACCAGCCTGACAACTTTTAAAATCTACA